TTATACTCCGCGAAGAAAGACAGCCACCTCGCCATTCTTTGCGAGAGGTGTGGGCTGTTTACGGCCGTGCGTAGTGACGCATGGTCCGTATAGACGATGAACGGTCTATCTCTGAGGAGATAGACCCGGAACTTAGCCAGTGCATATTTCATGGCAAGGAGTTCCTTGTCATGCACTGGGTAATTGCGCTCAGCTGCTTGCAGCTGACGCGACTGATAACAGACGACGCGCTCTGCGCTGTCTGTGTCATACTGCATCAACGCACAGCCGATTGCAAAATCGCTTGCGTCACAGACCACATGAAAAGGTCTGTCCTGATCTGCAATCGCCAAGATCGGCGATTGCATCATGCTTTGCTTGATACCTTCAAAGGAACGCTGGCACTCAGCGTTCCATGACCACTTCACATCTTTCTTGAGCAAGCAAGAAAGATGAACAGTCATCTCGGCGTAGTTGCGCGAGTACTTGTGCAAGTATGCCGCCAAGCCAAGGGACTTCCTTAGTCCCTTGACATCGACTGAGACTGGCCATTCGGTGATCGCCTTGATCTTTTCGGGATCAGGGCGGACGCCGTATTTGCCGACGATGCACCCAAGAAGTGGTATTTCGCTTGCCGCGAATATACACTTCTTGAGGTTTGGCATACAACTTATGCTTGCGCATAAGTTGAAGAACCTGACGAACGCGAGTTCTGTGAACTTCAACGTCCGTCTTTCCGTCCATAGCCCGGCTATGGACGAACACATCGTCGAAGTAACTTGGTGCGAAGTCTCGTACCGGTCTCAACATATTTGTAACACATCTGTTGAATGTTGCAGGGGCATTGATCAGCCCCTGTGACATCACTAGCCACTCCCACAGCATCCTGCTGGGGGTACTCACTGCTGTGAACGGGATGTCCCGTCCACGCATGAGGATCTGATAAAATCCATCCATCAGATCCATGGACGAAAAGATGGTACTCTTTGACATACCATCTATGATTACGTCCTTTCTCGGTATCGGCGTCTAAGCCGGTACCGTTGCAGCATTCAATTTGTTGAATGCGTGCTCTATCCGCCACCCTTCTGTGGCCTTTCGCACACAGAAGGTCGGAGAGCTGTGAGGGGATGTTGATTCCCTCACATGTCCCACTGCTAAGCGATCGGCAAAGAACTTGTCGATCGCTAGTACTTGTTCACGAGGCAGTGGCCACTGCTTCATGACACAGTGCTTCGAGCCCGGTTTGAGCTCGATCTCGTGTCGAGTGCCTTTGTTCTTAGGCAACTCGCAAGGTACGGATTCAGGGAACACATCCCTGAATTCGATCAAATCCTTATACAAAGGATTTGCCTGAAGTGACTCCCAGGATTGAGACGTGTATCGCTCAATCCGAGTCTTCTCATCGAGGACACTTTCGTCCATCGATGAGCTGCTGAGAACCCGTTCGTTCTCAGCAAATACTGTTGCCGACCGAATATCGGCCACATTCTCATCCTCTGTGACGAGTATGCAGATCTGCTTGACTTTGCCACTACGCAGATCACGCAAGAACCGTTTCGGTTCTAGCGTTGGCAACTGACTTATCTCCGAAGTTGACTTCGGAGGCACAATCAGATCAAGTGTATAAGCGCCTACGCTTGATCCGTCATTAACCAAGACGTTCAACGTCTCGGTTTCTTCCTGGGAACTTGCTTCCACAGGTTGCTGAGGGCCTGATCCCTCAGCAAGTGACTCTTGAGGAATTCCTTCCTCAAGTACGTGGGGACCTATTCCCTCGACGTCTTCTGACTGTGGCTGTGCAACCACAGTCAGGCACCGATCCTCTACGGTCGACTCTCCAGTCGACCTAGGATTTTCATGTTGCCCCTTGAGAGGCAATAGGTTTCTTTTGTCTAAGATGCTGCCCGCTAGGCATGCATCCATGTCCCGGTCCACTCGACTTATTCGAGTGGTGGACCTTCGGCGCAGCCTGTACTTCTGTACAGCCGCCGGGAGCTTACTCCACAGTGTAGTGATCAACTACACTGTGATCTTGTGCAGTCGTGCTAACGACCGTACCGCAAGTGAGGCCATCGCACTCACTCGCAGAACATCCACACGCTTGTGGACGCTCCAAGATGTTCATCAGATGGTCATCTGATGAACAAGCGGCAGGCATCTTCACGGATCGATGCTGCCAGCTCACCCTTGGCTCGTACTTTCTGAGCCAAGGTAATCCCAGGATGACATCAAATTTGTCATCCAGATCTAGTACGATGAAGTCATCATCGTACTGTTCGCCCTCTAACGTGTAGTGGATTCCGACTACACGTTTCTCAACGGTAATCGATGCGCCTGTTGCAAGGCGCACCGTCATCCTCGTGAGGGGAATGTCGCGCTCAACGAACTTGAGCCTACGAACCTCTAGTGACTGGCGACGAACAAAGTTGTTCGACGCGCAACAGTCTACTAGGGCACGAAGTGACAAATCACTTGTCGCTTCCAACTTCAAGGTGATGAGCGAAACGTCATCCCCAGGTGCAGAGACACACAACGATTGTGTATCTGGAGCAACTTTCGTCAAGAGATTTGCAAATTCTCTTGAGGTTGCTGGATCAGTAGGGCGCTCCGCCCCTACTGACCCCGACCATTTTTTGATGGTCCGTCTCGCTGTTGCGGCTTCGCAACAGCGCTGGACCCACGCCCATTGCCCTTTCTGGCAAATGGTCGTCCATTTCGCTCAGTACTGTTTGGTACTGGGCGTGGAGCACTACACTCGTATGCGTAGTGCCCTAACTTCTGACAGCGATTGCACTTCTGCAATCGCTTGTTGTTTGAAGAGCGAGGTCTCTCGCTCTCAACATAGCAGAGGTCCATTGGTTCTGGACCTCCGATCTCTTGTCGTCTCGGTGGACGATAAGAGTTTGAGCTAGCATGAGCCTGTCTCATGCTAAAGTTTTCCTGTTCCGCGGCTGATATCGCTTCTTCAAGCGTATTCAGCTCAAGGCGGAACAGGTGGCTCCTGACGGGCCCTTCTGCGAGCCCTTGCATGAACACCGTAATCAACGTGTGTTCATGTACTGGGTTGGCAGTTATACTACTCGCAAGGAGTCGTATATGTTGTGCGTAAGCGTGCACATCACGCTTACCCTGCTTGAGTATCAGGAGCTCTGAACGAGCCCTGAACTCAGCCCGTGGCGGCTCAAACGTTTGTCTGAGCCGGGACTTGAAGTCATCTAGCGACCTAAACACATTTGGGTCGCTACTCTCGAGCCCCAGGGACCAAGTTTTGGCACGCCCTGCCAAGTGGGTTTGAGCAAATGTGAGTTTCATTTGCTCATCTTTGACGCGACGAGCCCTTAAGGCTCTGTCGAGTTCGACAAACCACAGTAACAGGGAGTCTTCCGGGACCCCACTGTACTTGGAGATGTCAACTTTCATGACCTCGGGGCGGCGCATGCGCGTCGTCCCGCCCACAGCAGCATGGAATTGCTGCTGTCTCAACAGCTCTGTCTGTTGAGCACCGAGTTCTCTCAACTGCTCGGCCTGTTGAGAGCCTTGCTGGTGAAGCAAGGCTACTTTCTCCCTTTCGGCGACAAGTTTATGTTGAATGGACTTGGCTATAGCGGCATGTTGTTGGTCTCTGTCTAGAGACTCCAACATGGCGCTAATGGCGAGTTCGCCTACGGTAGAACTCATTCGTTCTACCGCACTCCATTCGATGTCACTCAAATGGTTAAACCCTTCACGCGTGGCGTGAAAGGTCTCTTCATCATCCAACATGTTCATGTTGGATGTTGTGGTCCTTGGAAGGACTACAAATTGCTACCAGATGTAACGGGGCACACCCTTGCGTGAATTTAACGCAAGGGTATCGGTGCCCCGACAGACGTACACAAGGCAAGCGAGGAAGCGTAGGTAAGGTAAAAGCAGAACTGTTATATTAATATAATTAAGTCTTTTGTTACTGTCTCTCTGTTTGACCTAACTTAATTATGCTAATATAACTGAGTGTATGGTGACGTCTCGTCACCACTCATTGCGCGCGTCCTGTGACGATTGGTGGGTTGATATCATCAAGATATTAACCAATGAGCAGACCCTTTGATCGCTTCACCAATATCACCACTTTGGTGATATTGTACAAAGAATATTCATGTTAATATTCTTTATTGTCTTTCTTTCTTTAAAGTGACAATTCCATGTAACGGGCTGCCCCGTTACAGCATCGGTATCGCACTCTGACTTGATGCATTATGTCTGTCGAATGTGTGGCGCGCTAAGGTGTGGCACATGTGCAAATAGACTAGAGGCGTATATCAGAAGTTTATACGACTGTCACTTAAACGTAAGCACGGACGTCATTGCTCAGCATCCGTTTCTTTCTATGGTAAACAATCGACAACATATGCGGCCGCGGTGCCGCTCCTAGCACGTTGCTAAAAAGTCTGATCACGGGCTAAGGGCATCAGCCGCGTGCTCAACAACGTTCTGTAAAGGCGTAGTTGAAAGGAAGCGGAAGGCCCTGCACGGAACATTCATCTGAAAAAACCAAGACAGAGCTCCGAGTAGCCCACGACGGGTAATTCATTTCAATTGTTGTGTTGCTATCCTATATATGAAGCCATGGGCTACTGTCCGCCTTGACCGGAGATCTCGGACAGCTTCTCTTCACCAAATTTCACCTCAGCGTACCGCCGACATTTTGCCTGCCATCTGATAGTCCGTGATCAGCCGCGTATGAATGTGGCTAGCATCAGCCGTTTTGCAGCGCGCTCCTTCGCCAGATGACACCGGCTTTTCATGAGACGGTAAAATGCATGCGCCTACCGAGTACAGTTGAGGTGGTCAGCATCCAGTCGGTTTTTTTTCATCCGGCATAGAGCAAACAACTGTCTCGCTTGCTACGGACAATCGATCAACATGCGTACGTGTGATTGTCGAAATTAACACGCGGTGTCGTTATCGCCAGGCAGTCGTGCATAGTTCGTTTACCGTATTGACTGAGCACCGTGCACAGTGTCCAAGAGCAATCATAGATGAGAGGACTTGAGTCTTTGGTGTATGTAGCTGCGCTCGCAGCGCCATCCAATGCCCTGCAAATCAGTGTTTGCGGCGATGCTACGTACGACTTACCAATGGACCGTGATGTAATTTGCGCGTCGGTGAGCAGCCCAACGCCGGGGACGGCCTGTCCACTGAAAGGAGACGAAGCGAGCACGGATTGCTACGAGAAATTGTCATCGTACAACGGCAGCACCTGTGTGGCGCCAGAAGACGCCGTATGCGCACTAGTAACCGACACGACATGGGGCTGCGTTTTTCCGTCGGTTGCGTGTGGCGAGGTATCGCATGCAACGGTGGCCGAAGAAGCCTGTTCGGACCAGTGTGAGACTTGGGAATACGACGTGGATTACCCGGCGCCTCGCAGCGATGCTGAATCAGTGATTGACGGCATCACTGATCACGATGCAACCTGGTTCGTGCAGATGACGAAAGTGACGGCGCTGAGCGCGTGTGGCACCGTCAAAAGCACGGCGGAGCCAACGTTGGAGCCCACGGAAGCACCAACTGTCAATCGAGCTGACTTGTGGGTCCCTGCGCCGACGCCAGCGCCCACTCTTGATCACTCGCTTTTGGAGCGTACGCCAGCACCGACGTCACTTTCTAATGACCGATCGTCGTCTATCATCGGAGATTCAAGGTCCGGAGAGCCCATAGCTTCGCACACCAACGATGGCTTATCCTAGCCGGTGTCATTGCACGCAAGAGGCGGCTCAGCTCTGGGCGATACAGAATTGGCAAAGCGAGACAGCCGACATCAGCCACCGTATATGCGTCGTCGGATATAACGACATTGAACCTGGGTCGGCGACCTGCGGACACGACAGAGCCAGTGATGACTTTGTCAGCAGTAGAGATGACCGGGACGCTGTCTTTATCGACGAAGGTGGTGTCGACACCATGATGCATTCACAAAGACATTGGATTTGCGAGTACGCGGTTGACAGCTCAACGAAAAGTAGGAGACCCTACTAGGGATGATGATGACTCGTTAGTGGTACAGCCCGAGCTTGCGTTTATTCACAGACAAAGGGATGTGAAGGAGCTGTGGGTTGGAGGTTGATTAATTAGCAACGCAATGAAGCTGTTCGTTTCAGATGGTCGAATTTGTAGACGCTTGATTGCTTTTTTGGTGCAATAAATGGTGCTTACATATCTCTGGGATTGCGCTCTTTGCCGGGACAAAAATGTTCTGCTTGGAATCGCTGTAGACAATGTTGTACGGGCCGAGGCTTTCGTCTGGAGTCAAGAGGTGATCTTGACATATACAATAGAGTGCATCTATCTGATTAATGTTAGCAGTTGCCGTCGCTTATGCTTGCTCGATGTTAGTTGCTTTGTTGTACAACGCTCACAACAATGGCCTTATCAAAGAAGTGCACAACGCTAGAATCTTTGACTCTCTACCCTACCAGCTCAAGCTCGTGACTGGCTGACACCATAAGTTTTGGCAGCGAAACCCCTCTCGCTGCGCCACGAATTCTGGAGTATGCAGGGATGATACACCCATCTTCTACTAAGTCGAGAGACATACCTGTAGAAAGCGTTCTGTCGAAGTTATACTAACGTGATCCTGCCTCCAAGATTGCTCCAGTATCCTCGGGATCTGACTGTTTGATTCTCACCCGTCCGGTAGAAGCGCCTGCTCAACTTGTAGTACGCATCACGATCGTCTCGTACGTGTTTGCAGAAAGCCGCGTCAGACAATATAATGGCAACGCTGCCAACATTGGCGAAATAGCGTGATGTACGCGGGCGTTCGTGTTTAACTTCGCAACCGAATTCGCTGCAAAGTAAAATTCGGCGACATGGCTGGTTCACTGGAGTAAATGACAACGCACTCATTCACGTCAAATAACAGGTTGTATGCATATGTGCGAGAGCGGTCGAATAAGAGTATGCTTACCGTTGTCGTGCGTGATTGGTCATGAGAGAGTATACATACCGTTGCCTTGTGTGAAGGTGCTCACGCACTTCTTACTACACCACTATTTTTCAGTAGTGTTGCAAGAAGTGCGTGAACCACGACATCGTTCGTGCGTGGCCCAAGACTTAACAAAGAGTTATTTCACACATTCTGATAATTTTATAAGTGCAACATGAATCCTGCATCACATTATCAGGACAAAGAAAACCTCTAGAGGCGGCAAAAAGACCGCTGGAGTCATTATCGGGGCGGATGTTTGTGGTAGTATCCTAACCGCACGCTATCATGCTCAAGGTATCTATGGTGATGCTTGCATCGAGCTTTTTACTCCAGTGGCGGGAAAGTAAGCGCACATTGATTCGTCGACGTGAAAAGTGGCAATCTGCTTGAGTCCGTGCTCAAGGTCTGTTGACTCGCTGCGCTCGGCGAAGATGAGATGTTCATATGAAGCTTTGTGATTTTTAATAGGTAGCCCTCTCAAGATGACTGATCATTGTGTGCGTTTGCAAGCCGACCCGTTCATTTTTACTTATAGGTGGACAATACTTTTTCACGCAGCGATTGACAATGAAAGGTTCACATCATCCTAACCTTTTGGTTATCACAGCTTAGGGTGGCGTAAGTCCCACCACATTGGACAATGTACGTGACGAAGCCTGAAAGCGCGACTATGGTAAAACCGCCACAAACGCACATCGAGCGTGTTGCGAGTTTTCAACTCTTCCTATACGATCGTTAATACTCTATCGCAAAGTCTTAACGAATGTGTCGCGCGTATACGGCCTTGGGGTCTTAATGGATCTGCACAACCAGTCACACTTGTGCCAAGAAATTCTATCCTTGACTAAAAGCTAGCTTTGCAAACAACATGCCAACATGTCAACTCATTGCCTACAATGATAGAGTTGCTTGTCTCTACATTCCAATCTGCTGAAGTCACGTATTCTTTGCGCCTCCATCTACATCCGTTGGGGCAGCCTCACGAGATTGACCGCCCATTTGAGGAATAAGTTTCGCCGCACTACTACAAATTCATCATTACGATGAAGTGCTAATGTAAATTCGCGGGTTGCACTACTGCACGTCTCCCGTGCAGCAGCAGCTCACGGTTTCATGTTGGCTTGTTCCTGAATATGATATTAGTCGAATCATTCACATCGATGCCAATGTATGAACAACGGCAAGGGCAATTGCTATTTCTACTGCTACGTTGTAGGTGTCCGGACTCGAGTATTTCATCTTTCAGCAGCTTATTTAATTCAAGAGTAGATATCCATTGCAATGTCTACATTTTGTTCGATTAGTTATCTACGAAGCAAATGGGAAGGATGTAACCACCTGTATGTCTTCAAATCAGATAGCAATCCCGTGGTAGCCATCCCACGGCCTACTTGCCTCAGACATGAACCCTCATCCTGCTTTCTAGTGTATACTCACGAGTTCGCAGAGACGAAATATCATCGTTTAATTTTCTTGTACATGGTGGCAAGAGGAAACGAGGGCGAACGTAGAAACGCCCATTGATGCAGTGTTCAATTTATGTCGATATTTGTGATGGACATCTTGATGCCACTTGTATCTCACAAAGTGCTTTCTTGTGAGCAGTGCCAACTAAAGTTAAATCTTCAGTTTTTTTTACATTTGCAAGCTTTAATTTTGTGCTACAAAAATGTGATTTACAAGATCAAACTATGCTATTTGGCTCAGATCGTAGTCGTTTTTTTCTTTACAAAACGTGGAGTAGAACATAAATTTTGTGGAAAATTATAGCAGGCAACACCCCTCACGTTTTGTGATCAGCACATGCACGAGAACTTCAACGCTAAGTTTGCAATGCGACACTGAAAGACCTAGTGTGGAAGCTAGCCAAGGCCTCGGAGGTTACGTCGCTCGAATGGCGAGCATGGGTGATTTAATAAAAAGAGAATTCAAATGCGGGTCCAATGGCTACTCAGTACCGACAAGCTCAAATAGGCTGCCACGTATAGTACACGTCCACGATTTGGGGCTATGAAGAGCAACAATGTGGAGTCTGTGCATAGCGTTTTGCTTCAAGCTAGAGAGAAGCCACTTTTGGACTGTCTCACGACGGCTGAAAAGGTACATGGGGATCAAGTAAATTAAGTTTGTCGCCATGCCGGCTTCGTGGGAAGAACTCACGGCTTATACAGCCGAAGAATTAGAGCACAAGCGCTATGCTCTATCACTGTCAAAATCGAAATTATTTCGAGTTGCATGTCCACCTTCATGGTCAAGGTAATAGATGGAAAGCTGCATGTCGGGTATTCTGTCGATCTAACTACTTATACATATTTGTGTCCTTGTGGCTACTGTGGCGACAAGAAAGAACTATGTTCTCATTTCCACGCGGCTTCTTGATCCGTTGGTAAGGTCTCGCTATTCAAGAATTTTGCGATGCGTCGTGTACCATGGAGCTGTACTAGCGTGCTTTCGATCCTTTAGTAAAGATGAGTCCATGCGCGACGAAAAATGAACTGACGCGTTTTGAAAAGCACCACCCACTCATGGTGTCAAAGAGGCGTGGCCGCCGGAACAAGTCCAAACAAATAGTGTCTCAGTCTCTCACAGAAGCGTTGAAGAAGAGGCGAAACCAACAAGTGCACTACATGCGGCAACTACGGCCACGAGAGAGGGAAGTTAGCCCTATAGCGCATCTATAAGGGCTTATTTCTCCGTCGTGATCACTCAATGTATTTTTCATATGTTTACATGGAGTTTAAACTTTTTAGTATATATTTCATACCCCTGCATGAACTTGAGTCTTTTTGGTATATCACCATATACTACAATTCGCCCGTAAAGTATCAGTTTGAATATGATTTTGATATTTACAATGTTAGGTGGTATAAAATTTCCATTTTTTACCCTTTAGTATAAAAAGCGTATTTTTGCCAAAAGTGGTATATAATTCAAAGGTCCCCTTCCTTCTTTTGCTTTTATGAACAAGTTTTGAGTTTTTAATAGTACCATCATAGCTGCATTTGATACAACCATTGCAAATGTCCATGTACTTAGTGTATATTGTAGAGATCACGAGACTTGCACATTTCCGGAGTCGTGCAAAGCCCAATCACGATTAGATGAGGACAACTTCATTAGCCACGAGCAATAACAATGTGACGCCACATACGTTGACGTTTTGTCTATCTTACAGTATCCTTACATCCATTAGTGACGACGAGGTTAACGCGGCTTCATCAAGAGAATGGCGCACTCTCTGTTATGCCAAGTGTGACAACTGCACCAATCACTTACCTTCGTTTCCACATATAAATACTTGTTGTCGTGCTGGATTGGTCGACGCTAGCTTCACGGTCGTGGGTTGAATGTTTTTACGTTGAACGATGACGCACACTTCACCACTTGATCAAATGGACGTAGCATTAAATCTCCTTCGACAATAATACCGAAGGCCGGTGCTTAGCTGTACCGTTCGATCGCTTGCTTATGGAAGCGTAGTGTTTCATTATGACGAGCAATTTGAGGACCGTTTCTCAACGGCGAAGTATTGTGATCACGCACAACTTGGCCTATGGATCAAGCAGCCGGCCGCAAGTGCGAGGTAAACATCAAACAGCTCTATCAATGCCATGCAGCGTACTCGACATCCGCTTGGTCAATTTTTAATTGACAAAGATCCCGTATAACAACGCGCAGATGGCTGCAAAGCGCCACCGCAAAGTTTGGCGACGAACAAGCAACGTCAAAGTATGCTACGAGCGTAACGAAAACGAGTTTGTATGAAAGAGGCAGTCAAAATGTGCGGATAATGCAATGATCCTGCTGTTGCTGCCGAGTCATGGCTTTCACACCTCCTTTCCGTATTTGCGTTACTTGCTTCAGGCAGCTCTGCAAAATTGGCGTTCACAGGTGCTCTCCCTCAGAACGAATATACAGGACGACGCCGAGGGCAATCGTCAACACAAATATGAAAAAATTGTCGGACTGAAGGATGTCGCCGATAGTAACACGCGAAATCGCATCCGCGCTCACGTTTGCATCACCTGTTCACCACTTCTTCAGCCAAACAAGCACTCGTGTCCTCGTCAGTGTGAGCAACGTTTTGACTGCTACTCGGCGCGATGCCCGATGAAGCTGACGAATGCAGCCCGTTATCAGCAACCGGTTGCACGGCACCTACCAACTCTCTCCACCATTTCGTCCATGAACGAAAATACGCGTGGGCTCGCAATTTCTATAGCGCAAGCACTACTGGCGCGTCGGCATCGCTGTGGGCTACACGTGCCTTGCCAAAGTAGCGCTTGGCTAGATAAGCACCTTAGTCCACTCCGTGCTCGTACATTAGCGCAAGATTGAACATCGCTTCTGCATTCGACCGTTTCCTGCAAGGGAATAGTGCGCACTAGCCTTAACAAAGTCTACCGGATGGCCCCCTTTACCATCATAGAAAAAGTCGCCAATCTTCAAGTTTGCATCCACATTGCCCTGCTGCGCTGCCAGCCTGTACAACATCAGGACAGTTGAAGTCGCGCCATCCGCGTCGAGTCCAACACTTATGCGACAACGACAGCATGGGCGACAACGACAGCATGGGCGACAACGACAGCATGGGCGACAACGGTGACGGTGTCAAGAAGTCATAGTCCAACAGGTACGCAGCATCATGCTGAGCGACCTCGTAGCCTTGTTGTGCCAGCACAGCGTATCTTATGAAAGCTGCTTCGTAGTCGTGGCGATTGTACGTAAGAAGGCAATTTTGCAAGAAGAACAGGTTCCCCATCTCCACACTCATCCACCAATTCATACGACTTGCCTGCACTCTTGCACAACGGAGCTGTGCCGATCCCGTGCAGTCTCATATGTCCAACTTTGTGACTCGCAACAGTGTGGCCTTGGAGCGCAGCCACCTGGAAGAAGCTGTACGCGACTTCATATTCAGGATGATCCGCTGCAAATCAAAATCTCGTTGCGCCTTACCTTGCAGGTGTAGAACGCCCAAGTTGTAAAATACATCCATGCTTCCTTGCTTCGCTGCAGCCTCGTACAGCTCTACCGCTCGCACCTCGTTCGGTTCAACGCCCTTTCCAATCAGATACATGTGCGCCAGCTCATTCTGCGCCGCGGCGATGCCCTCATTCACTGCCCCTTGCAGATATTCAAACGCTGTCTCATTGTTCTGCATCACACCAATGCCATAACTGTATATGTTCCCCAGATGGTACGCTCCCTCACTGGCTCCCAAATCGTAAGCCTTCTGAAAAGGAGTGCTGTGCGGTCCAAGTCCTGCGTCGATCCGCGCGCGCCGTAGTAGTACAGCGTCGCAAAGCTCAATGTAGCATCTGCATCGCCTCTGTCAGCCGAGAAGCGAAAGTAGATGACAATCGCACTGTCACTCGGCGCATTCTCTTCTGCTCCTTCTCCGCCATGTTTTCAGTCGGCGCTGCAGCAAGCCGTACATGACGGGACGACTGGCGTTTTCATCCCGTCTCGCCACTGCATCGTCAGCTGCCACTTCATAGTACCGCACGGCTAACTCGCACTTCTTCAGGGCGCCAAGTCCCATGTGGTACTTGTATCCCAGTGCCATGGTAACGACAATGTCCCCACCAAACGCAGCAAAGTAGTAGCGCGTCATGGCACCAGCTTCGTCCAGCGGAAAGCCCCACAGGCCGTAGCTCAGCGCTACGCCCACGTGAAACTGCGCCCTCGGCGCCCCCAGATCCGCTGCCTCTGCGTACAGCCGCATTGCGAGCGTGTCGTTCACGCGCGTGTCGAGCGAGCGGTTGCCGTAGAAATACATGTCTCCCAGCTGCACCAGCGCTTCGCGACGCTCGGCAGCAGACACGAGAGGCGACAGCGCAGCGTTGCTGCGGTCGCGCACGGCGGCGTGTTCAGTCTGTACGCGCTGGAGCGCTTCTGTGAGTGGTAAAGACGGGGTATTGGCATCTACAGGAGGCAGGAGCACACAAACGACATTGACACAGAGTGAGAGAGCGCGACACGAGAGGCAATAGACAGAGCGACGGCGCGTTGGCCGCGTACCGGTCGCGCGGGTCTCAACGACGCCCGAGCAGGACGCGAGAGCGACAAAGAGAGCGGCCACGACTTGCGGTGGCCGCGAGTGGGTGGCGACACGACCGGCGCATGAAGAAGAGCAGCAGAGTAGAAGCAGAGATGACGGTACGAATGGACTTCGACGTGCGACTGTCGTTCTGAAGAGCTATTGACGTGCAGACGATGGGTGGAATAGCTTTGTACGGTATTGCAATATGACCTGTACGTCACGTATTATCTGCAAAAATTTGAAAGACGAATAAATTACTTGAGGTACATTCGACATTCAAGCGGCAAATTACACATAATGAAAACATAAAAATCATCAGAACGGCACATGCAAATAATATTACAACCTGAAAAAAAACTCTCTGAATAGTCTCTAAACAATGGACCAGAAATGTATACTATACGACCAAATTTACAAAGGCTAACGATCTCACATTATATATGCGAGCTTTTTGATCGTATTTAAGGTAGTGCTGTTGAAAATTGCGTACAAACAATATTCTTCACTATTTCTGTTTTTTGTCTACCTTTTGTCTCCAATAATTACTTCGTTTGCATCATGAATTATTGTTGAGACACCAACGCCTTTTTATATGAAAGGCAAGCAATAGGATGCTGAATCATGGCCGCTCTACCCGCGAGCATCATAGTTATATTTCCTCGCAGGTAGAGCGACCATGAATAAAACTGGCTCGATGAAGTGCTATCATGCAGTGCTACTTGTGAAATGTTGCATCAAAGAGGCAAAAAAAAGGTGCGCTTGCGTGCATCGTACCCAGCAGTATAGATTGCACTGTTGCATCTATCTTTACAGCGTCTACACTGCAATATCCATGGCAAAGCCAACAACACCAACAGCATCGGCATCAGCAGCTTGTTTTCTGTGGCAACTATGGCAGGTTCCCAACATTACGTGCTTTGTTAGCATGCGATCCACCTATCTGTCCTCAAGCATCCACGTGTTCACCTGTTATTGCACCAACATACTTTGTCTGATCTCCACCATCCTATCTCCTCTTGATGTTGTTTGTCTATCTGTCGTCTCTTGCTGCCTCGGGTCGTGTCCTACACATATTTGTGCATGCTTTATTCAAGTAGGCGCTATTGCATCTTTTTTACTTTCGACGATACTGCCAAGACGACAGCTATACATTACTACCATGTCAGAGCACAAGATTCAGGTAGAGGAGTTGAGAGCAACCTGACAATGTAATGAACGGCAACATTATTGGCACGTGACGCTTGGAGCGTACACCCACCTTTTCCTTCTTCACAAATGTTTGCTGGTTAAGGTGGACAATGAAGGTTCTAACGTTGCTACTTGAAGAGTCTTTGACCTCACGTAACGCGTCAACAGAATAATTCTTGGTGTATACTATCAGTAACACGCATTGTAGAATGCCAGTAAATGGCTGCAGGGCTTCGGGTTATCTCCTTTTGAGCGATGATGTTCGATGGCAGGTTTCGCTCGTCATCAAAGGAGTACATGTAGCCATGAAGCAGCAAGAACGTGCTCGACGTTGATGCATAAAATGCTGCGGTACTTGATTATGTCCGCAAATATGCAGCTACCGACCTCACTTCCGGCAACTGGCTCAAAAACAGTAGCCATAAGAACGTATGTATCCAAGTTTGGTCATGAATCGCCAGGCGAGCAATGGTCCCAGATGTAACGATCGGGCACAAGAAGAATCGTTGAAGATGCTCATGACTTGAAATTAACAGATAGAGCCGATTCTACAGCAGCATCTTCGATGACGTCGCTGGCCCATTTTATGGTTCTGATCCTCATGTTTTGAATTGTGCCTTTTGCAGCTGCGTTATCGATAAGGATGCTGTGATTGAAGCAGCTGTGCGTCACAGTTGGTTGCAATGTGCTGCTAGCGAATGCGGGCGGGCATTTGCTGCCAAACAGGACGAACGAGGCGACCGAGATGTATCCATCATGGCAAAGCTGGGCGCTGTTGGCCTTGTATATTGATCTATCTTGTGTTGCGTGCACCTACCACAGCCGAAAGGATAAGGTGAACAGAAGCAACGCTACTCACCCCGCGACTAAAACAAGGCCATACACATTACAAAGATCAAGGATTATGGGCAACGTTTGTCGTTCATACGAAGTGATCATATGAGCTAGAAAGCACGGTGGGTCGACCACAAGAGCTGGGCAAAATGCGAGCAGAGCTTCGAACCAGACGTTTTATATGTCCTTATGTGCTGATAGCGCTTTCATGTGAGCAAATACAAAGTCCGAACGGTAGACTGCGTGCACATGTGCATATCCAAGATGACTGACTACTACTGTCTAATTGCACAGTAGCAACAACAGAGTTTAATCGACAATGTGTCTATTATTCGCAAATGGAAAGCTTTCTATGCATCAAAAAACATGCACACCTCTTCAGATTCGTGCACCATTGTGTTGTCGCTACTGCGATTCGGCGGTCTCGTTTGGCGCGACTTGAGCTGCCACACCGTCGTACGATTCGTCAGTGCCGAAGAAAAAGTCCACGTCTAACGGCATGGCTGTCATATTCAAGGCAGGCATTTCAGACATGCACGACTTGTCCAACAGGCTGAGATCACCATTGTTCGCGACGTACGAAGCCAGTAGTTCCATTGCACAGGTCAAGTTACCATCTCCGAACGGGGTTGTCTGCAGCAGAAAATGCGGCGCGTAGTCGAATACGACCAGCTCCTTTCTGGGTGTTTCGAGCGCCTTGAACAAAGACTCGGCGTATTTGTAAGGAGTCTGCGGGTCCAGCTTCCCATTCATCAGGAGCACACTAGCTTGATCGGGTACGGCAGCAGTGTTGTTCCAGTACTGGTCACGTGGATAAATTATCCCATTTGCTTCGTAGTTGCCGAGTTCGTAGCCATCACACACTGGCGACTTCTCTTTCGAAAAGGCGCAGAACAAGACAAGTGTGTTGTAGACGGATCCGCTCGAGATGCTCGCGCTTGTAAATCGACTCTTGAGTTCGGCGTAAGAAGGCGTAGGCTCCTCCCACATCTCAGAAAACACGATGAGATAGCTAAGCAGCAATGAGCTCGTATTCGAATCGTCATTTGACTCGGAGCCTGATGCAGATCTGCGCTCAAAGAAGCGCGCCAAAACGTTGACGTCATTGGCATCGCAGCGATTGAACCTGTACACCAACGGAGGGATCAGAAAGCGTAGCTTACCATCCTTTAAAAGGTTGCCCAGTGTATATCGGAGAGCAATGGATGGTTCGTCCTGTGTCGCGTTTCTGATCAGATCAGCACAGGTCGAGTTGGGGTCGAGCTCGAATCTCGATATCGTGTTTCGAAGTGTTGTCGACAAGTTATTGACTTTGAAGTGAGCATCACAGTCCCTGTCTTGCGCGCACAGATCCATGAACTGCTCGCCCACCTCACCAATGTCAGTGTCCAGGTTCGAGAAGTAAATCCGGTCAACCGGTAGTCCTGAAGCAGTCACGATGCCGTCTAAAACGTATCCGGTCACGTTTGGCGGATTGAGGTGCATCAGGCGTTGAGCTACTATCGTTCCGTAGCTAAATCCGTACACGATAGTGTGCGCACCATTTGTGTACTTCGAGATGAAGGCAGCGGTGTCCATGGCAACACTTGTAGTTGAGAACGAGGAGAGATCTCCATACCTCATTTGCAGTTCCCTAGCACAGAACGGAACCTCCGAGGGATCAATGAAGGGGCCGGATGAAGATCCACCCGTTGTGATCTGGGACGATACGGAATCCAGTCGCGAGCTGCGTTGAACGCCGCGGGGATCCATTGTATACACGTTGACTGATCCGTTAAGACTTTCGTGAAGTATCGCCATCGAATGCTCCACTTCGGTGTACAACAGTATATGATTAGTACCAAACCGCTAGTAGATATAAGAGCAAACACCTCCACTTACAGTTAGAGGACGGGTCACCGGGTCCGCCTGGAATCATCCACACGTTCGATGCCTCGTCTGCACTGACCGACGAAGCAGGCAACCGCTTCACAAACACTTCAATCGTCGGATTTGCACTTGCCGGTGCCTCGCAGATACCGGGGTAGCACAAAGGAGCCGCAAAAGTCGCGCACTCGGCATTGACGTTGCCATTGCTGGCCTCGTCAAATAAGGTGCAGATCGAGCACGGGTACCACCCGTTCAACGAGTTGCTCAAAGTGGCGTGAAATGCCTCCGACACTTGACCTATGAATACAACCGCAAGGACGGTCAGCGCGTGATATCGCTGCATAGCTTTTGCTCCGGGGTCGTAGAGGTCCTAGCAATCAGAAAGTGACTCATGTATTTTCACGGAGCACGCGCGCTATTCATCGTCCAGAATTGACGGATAGGTCGGTATTCGACGCCAATAACCCAACTTGTAACGATAAGATCGACCGCGTGGTGTAGTGCTTCATCACACAAGCCGCAACTGGCCAGAGAGATGCAGGTAAAGGCGAAGCAGGCTTTGAAGGGATGTCGTACTTCTTTTCTCTCTATCTTACGCTTATGCACGCGCTATCAGGTGTTTCACCAAGCAACACAAACAGTCCGGGTAGTGGCTATTTTTACTGATGTAAAAATGGGTCGACAGTTTCTGAAACGGCCTCGGCCATGTAAAAATATTGACCGCACTGTTTGCAATTTGATTTCCTGCCGCATGTTTTACGTTGACAGATGCGAGCGAAAAATGCACACACACGCGACGCGGCGGAAGAGAAGTAAACATCCTGCTTATTTATGGTTACAATCTA